TGCCACACACTGGCACAACAGATGATACCCACACATCAAAACACACTCACTTGCACATACCTCACACAAACACGCACTACATACACACACACACCACATGCTTTGAGTCAGTCACATGTCTGCTCACATGCTCACACACTCATTTGTACAACCTATCACATGCAGATACACTCAAACACACTTATACACATTTACACACATCACACATACATGCTTACACACTTGTCACACTCACATGCTCACACACTTGCACACGTCTCAGACACACGCTCCATACACTCACACACCACACTCACAATCACTTAAACATACGCACTTGCTTGGATACACTACACAAATTCTCATACACTCACACATAGCCACACAATTTACACATATCACTTATTCATACACTCTTACATGCATATATGTATGCCACACACATACTCATAAATGCATCATTGTACACACAGACACACACATGTTCATACACATGTCACATGCACAGTGCTCACACATACGTGTTCACACACTCATGAATACACACTCACACTTACACACATGAAGCACCCACCCCATGCTGGCAGCACTCACACAAACAGTTGGCGCCAGTTCCCAGCTCAGGTTGTCCGACCCAGACCCAGCACTGGGAGTCCCTGGGGTCCACTACTAACAAAGCCCTAAAATAAACCCCTGGGCCCGAAAGGCTGCTGGGGACACCAGAGGTTTCCTGGGCTCTTTGAATCAGGTCCTCCCTGCTCCGAGGGGAGAGCGGGAGAGGGTCTGGCTGGAAGGAGGCCAGCACTGCCCAGCCTCCCTCCCCTCCCAGACCCCCACCGACGTACCATGGGGACACCTTTGGAGAGGTGCCCAGCCTCCCTGTCCTGAGAGCTGGCCCTGGGACATGTGGACTGTGGGTCCCAAAGCCAAGACAAATGGGGTCCCTTGAGATAGTTCCCCTGAGCTGTGCCACCCTGGAGGAGACACCTGCTATGGCCATGCCCTGCCCAGCCTGCAGCAAGTTTGGGGGGCATGGGCCTCAGGGGTGTTCACCAAAGCTAGGCTCTCCACAAAGATGTGGCCAGCACTTGCTGCAAGCCAGGTGCTGTCCCAGGGCCGGGGTGTGCCCTAAGTCCCCTCTGCTCATACGGCACAGATGCTATTTGGGGAAAGGAAAAGGGAGGCAGCAAAGACCGCCCCAAACCATGCCTGACTCCGACAGCCACCGAGAAGGCCTGGAAAGCCCAGAGGCCACGGCAGGTGCTGCCCTCAGACAGGCGTCTGCAGGGGCTGGCTTCAGCGTGCTGAAGGACCCAGACGTGAGGGGCAAGGGCAGGGGCGCCCTGGACCGGGAAACGGCCAGGCCCGCTTGGGGACCAGCTCGCGCTCCAGGAAGAGGGAGCCCAGCTATGGTCAGACCGGTAAATGTGGGCAGATCAGAGCTTGGTAAGTCAAGACAAGGCAGAAGGGCCACACTGCTGTTATCAGAACGCTGGGGCTTCCTGTGCAGCAGGCGGTCATTTGATGACAGTTTCAAAAGATCCCCAGGCAGCTGCATGGGGACTCTGTGGTGGAAGGCCAGGGACACAGGGAAGCCACGTGGAGGCCTGTTGCCAGCCTGGGCGGACAGGATGAGGGGGCTGAGGGCGGTGGGGCTAGAGGGAGGAGGCTCAGGTCTGGGTGCACTTGGACGGAGAGGAAGCGGGGCTGGTCAGCAGGCTGCGTGTGTGGGAGTGCGGACGGAAGGAATCACGGAAGCCCCATTGTTTTCACTCAAGTGAACTGAGTGGGTGGTGGTCTCATTTCCTGAAATGAGAATTCTGGGGGTGGGGGAAGGAGAGGGGGTAGTGATAAAAACCTAACTTGGATCCGTGTTAACTTTGCAATTCCCATTGGATACCCCAGTGAGCACGGCAAGAAGACAGGTGGAATTGTGGAGGGTGGTGCAGGGAGGCTGATCAAGGATGGGGAAGGACTGAGACGTCCTCAGTGTGCACATGGAATTTCCAACCCGGCCCTGGATGAGATCGCCTGGGTGCCAGCTCCACATGGAGGATACAAGGGCCCAGGCCGAGCTTAGTGTGCAGGGAGAGGGGACAAAATGAGGCTGGGAGAGAGAGTGGCAAGACAGGGGCAACCCTCAGAGGGCGATGAGGTGAGATGCAAGCGCAGAGGCTTCCCAGAGCCCAGTTCAGCACAGAGCAGGGTGCACCCAGGGCGCCCTGCGGCCCAGGCTGCCTGCATCAGAGGACCCAGATCCAAGTCCCTCCGGTCACACTCTTCCCTCCCCAGGTTCTTTCATCGAACCAAAAAATCTCTCCACATGCAAAGCCACCCTCTTTAGAGACATCTTCCCTACTGTTGTCCTGACTAATGCAATTCACCAGCTACAGCTCTGCAAGACTTTCTCTCCCAAATACAGGCTTCATCTCTCAATTGCCCAGGGGGTGTGCCATGGACTCTGACAAAGCCTCCATCTCCCAGTCCCCACCCTCTGTCCCCTGCGGTGGATTATCACCTCACATTTTTGCCTCCATGAAGGCTGTGGAAGCCCCCAGGGAAGGACCCTCTCCCCTTCTGAAGGCACATTGTGTCTTTGTGTCACCTCACCAAGTCATGAACATTAGCTCATTCAACTTTAATGAGCTTAGCACGCAGCAGGGGTGCAGCAATTTTGGAGAGTGAATTGACTTCAATTGTCAGCTTCCAGCCAGCATGACGTCACCAGGTCTTAGCAGAGAAGCCCATGGCCGTAAGGCTTCCCCATGCTCTGCAGGATATCTCTGAGGCCTGAGGCCAGCCAGGACACAGTGAATTGACGCTCATAGAAGCATTTTCTGGGAAGAGAGTGCAGACTTTTATTGGAATTATCAGTGATAGATACACTTTTTTTTCTTCTGTTGCATTACAGCTATTGATTCTAATCTTATTCAACTCTGAACAATTCCAGGGAAAGGGCTGTTGCCTTCACCTCCTGTTGCTGATTTGAACAGACACGTGGCACATTTCTCCTAGGATCTGGCTCCCCCTGAGTCCTTCTTCCTTCTAAATTCCTGGGTGGCTTTGGTCTGGGGTCCCTGTGTCCCTGTTCCTCCAGCCCACATTCCAAGTGATGCAAGCACTTCATTGGAACTGCTCCAAAGAGCCACCTCGAGCCTTGCCCTGTCCAGGGATGGAGGTTTGGAGTCCAGGAAGTCTGCACACCAAGTACCAAGGTGGGTCTGCAGAAACAGGAAGCCCCAAAAATGGCATCCCTAACAGAACCCCATTCAAACTTGCTGGGCCTTTTAGATTGTTTTTTATACAGCCTGGTGGTACCTGTTAAGTCCACAAACATTTGTGGAGCACCTGCCAGGTGTCTGCTGTAGGCTCCACATGCCGTTGTGAACAAAACAGACAAACATCTCCTCCCTAATGGAATTCACCTTCTAATGGAGCAGATGGTAAACACAGTAAGTTAGGAAATGTCTGTAGTATGCTAGCTGGGGATGAGTGCCCAGGAAAAAAGGAAATAATGACCGTAGTGATAAAGAGCAGCATCACAAACACTTGCACAGCACATGCCACACTCCAGACTGCTCTCAATATTCTCTGCGGCCGGGCATCGCGGCTCACGCTTGTAATCCCAACACTTTGGGAGGCTGAGGCGAGAGGATCGCTTGAGCCCAGGGGCACACAACCTGGGCAAGATGGGAAGTCCCCGTCTCTAGTAAACCTTAAAAATGAGCCAGGCACCTATAGCCCCAGCTACTCAGGAGGCTGACACAGGAGGATCCCTTGAGCCCAGGAGTGCAAGGCAGACATGAGCTATTATGGTGTCACTGCATTCCAGCCAGGGTAACAGAGCCAAAGATAAATAATAAATGTTCTGTGTGCATTTGCTCATTAAAACCCTCAGAACAACTGCCTGAGGCTGGTATTGCTATGATTCCCATTTAAATATGGTAAAAGTGGGGCCCAGAGGACAAGGGAGAGGCCGCGGTCAGGGAAGTCCGCTCGCACGCTGTGTGCTTGGTGGTGTGCTGGCTGAATCTGGTCATTGCCGGGAACCTTTATGGTTAGCTACAACCCGGTGCCTGCTGGAGGGGCGAGCCACTCACGGGAGCCAAGCATAGCTTCTTTCCACCTCCCTACCCGTGACTGCTTTTTAAGAAAGAAAGGAGAAAGAAAAGAGAAAGAGCATACACAAAATTTGAATGCTGTATAAAACCTAATGTTTTTGGAGCAATGGAAAAATAAGCAGTGCGGTGAAGTAAACAGGGAACAAACAACTAGCGTATGTTTACCTAGATGTGAAGAATTGTTTCCAGATCAAATGGTTTGGAATGAGAACTTCCACACCTTGAATATAAACTCAGATTTGCCAACTGTGAGAACCATTTAAAATGCTACTTACTTTAAAGGATGAGAAGCCTGAAAACATGTTTTAGGGAAGAAGAGAACTAGAAGGACAGTGGGCACGTGTAGGCCACGGTATCATACAGGTTCAGCAGGACAATGGGGAAAAAATAGAAACACGGAGACCTCCACCAGCCCCCTCTCCGAAGCCGAGGAGTCTTGCTCAAACAATGTCTGATTGAGAGAGAATGATGGGGGAAATGCCAATTCCACATTTCCTATCTCTACACCTTAGCATTGTCAGAGCCCCACGGAGACGGGATACAGAAAGACCAGCCCGACAGGCGAGGGAGGGGAGCCATGCCTCCTGGAACCGTGCCAGGCAATGTGGAAGTCATTGAGATTTACCAGCATCATTTCCATAATCACTTTTGGATGCACAATAGTTGAAGACTGTGCCTGGATTCCCCTTTGCTAGAATTCTGGGGTCACAGCATCAGCATAGAAGGTGGCCAGCCTTTGGCTTTTGCGGCCATTCGTGGAGTCTTTATGGAAGAGCAGCATGGCCAGGAGACCCCAGCTGCGTCACCCCGGCTGCAGTGTGCGAGGCTGCAGTGCTGGCCCCAGACCTGCCCAGTCATGCCTTCGTGGTCAGCTGTTCATGTCATCTGCTACCATGGTAAGAAATGGTTTTTATAAAGCCATTTATGAGTTATGAAAGTCCATTATTTTCCAACTGAGAAGGTAGACATCAAACTGCAGAATCAATGAGGCGGTCATGCTTTTGAAACCTGAGTGCAAGCAGTGGCGCCTTCTGCTGTGTAAGAGCCAATCAACTTGGCCCATTTCCCATTTCCCATTTCCCCTTCTCTAGAACACTGAACTGCAGAGTTAGATAGGCAGACGGTGCCCGTGACCATGAGCCTTTCACCTGCTCCACAGTGAACGAAAGCTCACCCCAGAGCAGGCTTACACCCTGCAGAGGTCTGTGCCAGGTCCACAGTTCTCAGGGACGCCCTGAGTTCATCCAGAAGGGCTCAGACATTTGCCTACACCAGGCCCACGCTGGGGTCAGCGTGGAGGGGAGGGTTACGCCGGGACCACCGAGTCAGCACATTGTGGACCAATAATAGCGCCTCTCCAACAGGGAAGAGCAATGCCCTGAAGACTGCTGGCCGTGTGTTCAGTGATTCTCACAGAGCACAGAAAATGAAACATCAGAGAAACTGCCCTTAGGCAGGGCTGGCAAATATCTTCCCCACTGGGCCCAGGCTGACTTCACCTCCAGGTCTTCCTCCACACACATTCCACAGCCCAGCCAGTCCTCCAGGGCGGAACTCAAGATGAATCTATTCACTGTCTCTGCTCACTTGGGAGTGACGGAGGATGCACAGCTGAGGTCGGCATCTCGGCCATGGCTCCTGGACCAGGTGAGGGTGGGAAGGAGCCATGTGATGATCCACACTCCAGTTTCTTGTCCAAGGCTGCCTGTGGCTGATGTGCTGCTATTTGGGGAGAAAAGGGAAACACGCAGGCTTGTCTCAAGCGTTCCCGGAGGATGTGAGACGGCCGCCCATGGCTGAAAACTCACGTGGTTCATGAAAGTGCGTGACATCTGGACCTGAGACCCAGCTTACCAAGGCCTCACCCCTCAGTGTATTCATCTATGAAATGGGGATAGTATTAGCATTGGAGGACAAGTAAATCAGCCAACGTGTGTAAAGTGTTCAGAAGGTGCCTGCTGTCTTTGATGAATGCAGCCAGCAGCTGGGCTGGGGCGGTTGTAGGTGACTGGCAGTGGAAGAGGTGAGAACAGAAGGAAGGCCCCACCGCAGAGGGGCCAGCGGCCATGCAGGCTGATCCAACAGGAACAGTGGCCGCAGCGGGGAGCCTCGACCCTGGAGCTGGTCATGCTGTGCAGGTGGGGCGGGCAGGGGGCTCCCAGGTAGAGCATGGGAGGAGAGGGTTGTGTTCCCAAGTCTGGAAGGGGCTAGAGCAAAAAGAGACCTGGGCAGGCCCAATAAGGCCTGGCAACTCGGTGTCCTCCGCAGACGCAGTGCTTCCTACCAAAGCAGGTTCCCAAATCCCGGCTTCTTCCTGCCTCTCGGCCATTCGTTGCTCCTTCAACCATCAGAGAGTCCGAGTCTCCTCCTTCAGTGACTTACCAACGCTACACTATTGCTCAGAATCTCCACTGTAAATCAGGCTAGTGTTAGGATAAACACTAATGCTTAAGGCAAAAGCCTTGGACTCCACGAAGGAGTGGACACGGTAAGGCATCCTTCCGGCACATCATCCCGGAAACCTCATCTGACACCCTCCACCATGGGCCCTGCACCCGGGAGGGGATGCCCAGACAGTTGCGCACACAGAAACATTCATCCACACTGGTTCGCTCTGCAGTCCCGGAAGGCCATCAAACGGAGTGGGAAAAAAAGACGTCCTGGGGCAAAAGACAAAGTGCAACTCGATACCCTGATCTCCTGTAAGCAGAGTTCTAATTATCGGAATCGTTTCTTCAGCAATAGTACAGAGAGACTGCAACAGATCTGAAACTCCAATAGGCTTTGTCCAACCTGGCAGAGTGGATTCTTAAATCTGAAATCATCCACAGCACCCACTTTCCGAACTGGGCCAATTTTCAGACCTAAATTACCTCTGGCTCCACGGTAGCATCTGCCCATGAAATCAGCTTCTACCAAAAGCTTGAACTCTCCAGGAGCAATTATCTGGAACAGCCTCCAAACTGCATTTTTGCCATTTGAGACTGTTTTCCGCAATTGCCAGCCATCTTGCCTGTTAGCATGCCTGTGGGAAGGGCAGGCTGGCGGTTACGGCATTGAGTCCCTAATTGAAGTTGTTGTCCTTGAATCCTTTATGACCATCAGACATAACACCCGGTGAAAATGACGCCAACTGCATTTAGAGTTATTCAAAACCTGCCACCTCGCAGAGGAAAAGTTCAGCCCACCCTCAGGGATGCAGGTCTTGACTCTGTCCTGGCTGAACGCTCAACAATTCTCCTCTGCAAACTCCCAAAAGGGGACTTGATGATCTCTTCCACATAGCACTTAATGAGGAAGCAAAAACTATTTTCGACTGAGGGAGTGTTTTTGCAAAGTGGAAATCAAATCCATTTGTTAATCTTCAAAAACTGTGGGCTGTGCAGATTCTTGGGAAGGCATTAAGCACATGCATCACAGCAGCGATGGACTCTCAGCAAATGGACCCGACAGCTCCATAACCAAGCGCTTGCCTGGGGGAACTCCTCCCAGCAAACGCTTCTCAAATGGACAGCCTGGGTCCTGTTCGCCATGCTGGCGGTGATCTATCACCAATAGATATTATAACATCAACCTTCTCTGCAGAGTTTATGGGTGATTTTTTTGCACAGAAATAAGGATTGTGGTTTACAACACTGCAGTGGTCTTAAGCTCAAAGTCCTCATTCGTCAACCGGAGAGTTCTTTATTTTGGTTATCCCCCAATTACATGTAACACAGGCTCCATCAAGACAGCGACAGTGTGTGTTTGCTTGATTAAAGTAAGCCCGCGGGCAACAGGATAGATTCCTAACCCCTAACTTTTACTTAAACTAGAATATACGAACAGGAAAATGCAGAAAACAAATCTGCCAAACAATGTTTCAGTTTTCTCATGCCTCAAAATTATCTGCTCAGGTCAGGGCTGTTATTTTCTCCAATGTGAGTCCTTTTGAGGGCAAAATCAGCGCTGCCTCTCCCATATGCCCTCATCAGATGATTTCAGGCAGAACTTTCCTGAAAACACTGAGCCACATTGGCCTAGAGGGTCGGTCAGTTCGCATTTGCTCAGTCCTGACTATTCACATGGAGTCGTGCTAATTTCCATTCACCTAAGAAGTAAAGGTTTCCCAGAGCTGGTTCCAAACCTTGCTTGTATGCTACGGAACTTAGATGATTCTGTGAAAAACTGAGAAGGCTCCAGATATCTGAGACAGCTGCGAGGCATGTGCTCGGAACGCCTCTGTGGAAAAGCAAATCTTTCTGTGTTTCAGTGAAAACGCCCATGAGGTTTCAGTCCTCCCTCCTCTGAAGAGGCAGAGGAGACATCCAGCCACTTTGGGTTTCGACAGAGGAGGGTTAAGAAGTTGGGCAACACCAGCACCAGTGAACCCTCAGGGACCGGGAGAGCAGCAGCCTGGTTTGGTTTTCAGTCACCCGCTGCAGTGGGAACAATGATGAGGGGGTGAGATCAAGTTCAAGAACAGCACACACAAGCAAAAATCTAATTGTTCCTGTTGTTACATTCTGAACATCTCCTCCTCTGTTTTCTTTTAAAGAGCATTGTTCAGAAGGTTAAATTTGCTGGCTAAGACATCCCCTGAAAAGCTTAGTAACTTGGAATTTTGGTGGCCATAGTTTTCTTCCTGTGTGAGCTTCCCTCCAAGGTTAATCTTAAATATAGAATCGCCCTCCTCTTTCTTTCCAAATCCTTCCAAGCCATCCAAGTACATGGTTAGGCTCCATTCCTGTTCTCGGTGGAGTATACCGTCATCTCTGCCAGACTTCCTCCAGCTGCCGCCCATGAGCGCATCTGCTGTAGAGTTCCCCACTTGAAAGATGTCCCAGAAAGCCTGGCCCCGTCTTATTCCCAGAGGAATCCCAGAGCCCGGGAGACAATGGCTAACAGCTGGCCCAGAGATTGTTTCACAGACTTTTGAAGCCACAACTGGCAAATTTTAAGAATATGATGGAGTGCAGGCAGACTGGTTTGCCTGAGCTGATCCGGACCAAAGGCAGTGTGGGAAGAGGACAAGTGGCTGTGGCTGAGGACGGAGCAGGCCACTACTTCTGGCTTGCACGGTCTGTCCATCCCTAGTGCTGGGCATCTGCGATTTGTTTTCAAATTTCAATAGTTTGCGGGGTATAGGTGGATTTTGGTTACATGGATAAGTTCTTTAGTGGTTGTTTCTGAGATTATGGTGCACCCATCTCCCTGAGAAGTATACACTGTACCAATGTTTAGGTCTTTCTTTTATCCATCACTCCCCTCCCACACTTTCCCCTGATTCCCCGAAGTCCATTATATCTTTTTTTTTTTCTTGAGACAGAGTCTTGCTCTGTCACCCAGGCTAGAGTACAATGGCTCAATCTCGGCTCACTTCAACCTCAGCCTCCAAGATTCAAGCGATTCTCCCACCTCAGCCTCTCAAGTAGCTGGAAATGCAGGAACGTGCCACCATGCCCAGCTAATTTTTGTATTTTTGTAGAGACAGGGTTCCACCATGTTGGCCAGGCTGGTCTTGAACTCCGGACCTCCGGAGATCCAGCTGCCTCAGCCTCCTGAAGTGCTCAGATTATAGGTGTGAGCCACCGCACCTGGCCCATTATATCATTCTTATGCCAGTGCATCCTCATAGCTTAGCTCCAGCTTATAAGTGAGGACATACGATATCTGGTTTTCTGTTCCTGAGTGACTTCACCCCAAATAATGGTCTCCAGATCCATCCAGGTTCCTGCAAAGGCCATTATTTTGTCCGTTTCATGGCTGAGTAGCATTCCATGGTGTATACACGCCACATTTTCTTCCACTTATCGGTTGATGGGCATTTAGGTTGGCTCCGTATTTTTGCAATTGCAAATTGTGCTGCTATAAACATGTTGTAGGGCACCCATGATAATATAATTGCTTCCATCTTGGTCACTATCTGCCATATCATAAACACAAAATTATGACTTCACAAGAGGATGGGCCAAATGAGAAGCAGAACTGTAAGGGAAGGAATGCTTGTTAAAGTAAAACTATTCTCAATAATTGAGAGAGGAATTTTAGAAACTAACTCTGGCCAAGAGGTTTTTTTAATTTATGTTCTCAGCATCAGAGCTGTGTCCAAACCATCCCTGCTGACACAGCCATGACAGCTAGGATAAACAAGCCTTCAAGAAACTGTCTGAGGAGGCACATGGGAGCTGCCGCTGGGCCTTCCCAGGAGCTCCCTGACTTCCCGTGCCCACTGCCTTCCCACCACAAAGGTGGGCCCGTCCACTTATGATTTTGAAACTAAAGCAAATTTAGCA